ATGATGATGATGAAGAATCAGTTTTTCCAAATATATATGTTGTACCAGATTTACCACCAAAACTTCAACAAATAATACAGAAAGGTGAATTAAATGAATTTCGTAGTCATACAAATGTACGTCGACTTTTACTTGATACTATTTTTAATCATGTGACAAATGAATATTCGTTGCTGTAAGTGATAATGATTTTGTCTTCAATAAATACCGATATATTTATCTTTTGTATTGTAGTTATCCTAATAAAGATCAATACAAATCAATGGGCAAAGCAATATTGAAAACACTAAATATTCCCAAAGACAAAGAAATATTGGTAAAAAAATTAATGTTCAAAATTATCAAAGATAACTTTTATTGTTTTAAGGAGCAGATGATAAAATACATAATTTTATGAACGTTGAATTATGATTAGATGCTGAGCAGACTTAATTGATTTTTCTATTCCTTTCTTTGAAAAATATCACTTCTATACGTCAGGAAAAATAGAATAAAGAAATTACTCATGTAGTTCAATTCGTTTAAACGGAGTCCTTAACTGTTTGATTGATTCCGGTTCTTAGATTATATTCTAAGTGAATAGGTAAAAGTTAATTTCTATCGAAGCTATTTGATTTGAGAAAATTTTCACAGTTTGGGCACATTACTCAGTTCATATTGTGGATTGAAGAATCTTTTTTTGATATCCTATTGACCTAAAAGTATATTTTGACGTATAGAATGAATGGATCGAAAGTCTTAAAAACAAGTTTAAACGAGAACGTCGTCCACTTCAGCAAACATCTGCTGAAGTTCAACAGATGAAAGTCAAGTATGGCAATAGTATTGGTCGTCCAATCAAACGAACTAATAATTTAATTGCACCTCGTCGAGTAGTAAGTACTCAGAAACAAATATAAATAAAAAAGTAATCACAGAGTAAATTGATTTTTTTTTTATCTTTCACTTGTAGTCTTCGGTTGAGTTTTGGAATAAAATAGATCTGCATGATGATCCTGAAGATTTACATAAAAACGTCCAGTTTATGAAGAACGAATTGGTAGATCAAAATTTTGATTGGGATCAAGTCAAAAATCCATGGAAAAAAACATTAGTTCAAAGAAGAACCTTTATTCGAGATCACACAACAAAAGAAGTTCCTCAAGAATATCCTGGTTATCGTTATGCCTTATTGGTAAGTTAATCCTGATTATTCAGTTCACTTTTGATGAATATCTGATTTTTTTTCCATTCTCACAACAATTTCTTTATGTAGAATAAGTTTTGTTTTTAAGATCTTTGACGAGGTTCGCTATGTATGCAATGTCGATATTGAACTAAATTTAAAATCTATGTTGCCAAAATTACTTGATTGTATTCCAGATAATTCAGGTTTTGTTAATGGTGAGTGATTGATTTGCTTGTTAATCTGTTTCATGCTGTTTAATTATTTTGTAGATCTTCCAGCTGTACGTTTGATTAAACTTTTGTCCAAATATTTCAGTGATTCATGGCAACATATCTTATCGAGTAAAGTAAGTAATAAATCATTCTGGAGACTTTAATTACCAGACAAGATATTGACTATTCATATTTGAAGTATCTTTTTTTTTATAACAAACAAACTTACACATTTCTTTTTCTTTACTATTAAGGAACCATTATCTCCACGTCCAAGTATACAAATAACAACTGATAAATTTATTATTTTTTTGGATTATGAAATCATTACTGAAACACCATCAATTGATCAAGCTTTATGTGTTGTCATCTCTTTATATGTTCTGTTTGAATTGCAATTCGGTTCACACAATCGAATTATTCAGTTATTGTACGGGATATTATTGCAAGAACCTGGTGCATTAACAAAACCATTACGTCTTCTATTAAATCAATGGAACTTTATTGTTGACAAAAAAGAATATAAAAGAAATATTCAAATGCCAACAACAATATCAACAACAACAAAAACACTTACAACTACAGTAGAAAATTTGATACAAGCCGAAGATAGTCAAGCTGATAATTTATATGATAGTGAAGAAGAACAAGAATATATAGAAAATACAACCGGTTTGCCGTCATTTTTTGAGGAACAAAATAAATCATCTATTTTTGCATTATTAGGTTATATTCAAAGTCTAACTACAACAACACCTACCAGTGACGAGGATCTTATGAAGGATTATCCATTAGAATCATCAGATTCCTCCAATTCATCATCACCAATTGATCGTCCACTTCTTATTCACACTTTACCAACAGAAAAACAACAAGTAATAACATCACCTTTACCACTTTTGAACGACAACCCAATACGTAATGTAAACATCAAACACCAAACATCATCAAAATCAATTGATCAATCATCAACTATTCAAAAGAAAATTATTTATGCAGCAAGAAAACGATCTTCTAGTCCTGATGAACCTATAGCGTCACGTTTAAAGCGTTCACGACTTAAAACAAAAAATTAATTGGGAACATCTTTGCTCTATTTTTTTTATTTATATTAGTACATGCACGTTTTTGATCAATTACACCTGTATTACGTTTACCAAAGGATCCTATCAAAAATCATCATATTTTTCCCTATCCGGAAAACATTATAAAATGAAAGTATCTTAGTAGTATATAACTGTCTTGGTATTGATTTATTCAGATCTCGTCCCATTTCTGAACAAAAACTCACAGAATGTTAGAACTTTTTAAGAGAATGCCGTGGTTCTCCTCAGGAACATCAAAAAAATTATTTTCCTAATTTCGACTTGAAACTTTGCACAGAGATAGATTTTAACGGGAAGAGATTATTATGAAAGTTTCAGATCGTTTCGTTGTTCCTAACCTAAAATCAACTATGGTAAAAGTGTGTCTTTTACATTGTTCACATATATGGACAAATTCGAAGTTCATATTTTAGGTTAGGAACAACAAAAAGATCTGTAACTTTCATAATAATCTCTTCCCGTTAAAATCTATCTCTGTGCAAAGTTTCAAGTCGAAATTAGGAAAATAAATTTTTTGATGTTCCTGAGGAGGACCACGGCATTCTGTTAAAAATTTCTAACATTCTGTAAGTTTTTGTTCACAAATGGGACAAGATCTGAATAAATCAATACCAAGACAGTTATGTACTACTAAGATACTTTCATTTTATAATGTTTTCCGGATGGGGAAAAATACAATGATTTTTGATAGGATCCTTTAAGCAGAAGCTGTTTCTACAAATATCTTCTCTTATATTTTCATTATGTTGGCCTTTTTTTTACTTTCATCGTGAATTTACGTGTTCCTTTTTTCTCCAAATAAAATAGAGTTAAGTAAATTTCATCAACTCTTCGAAAAAAATTATAAGGCTATATCCAAAAAAAAAAACTCATAAGTATTTTCGGATTTACTCGAACATCGACAAACTACGTTATATGTTAAATTGTTAAGTCAACAGCCAACTTAACAGTAAGTTTGTTTTTTCAAAAGATCTATACAGTTTTATATTTGAATTGATCAAAAGAATTGATTCATGTTTAAATAATCACGTTGGCATGAGTTAATTCCATTCTTTTAATATTTAGGTTGATGTGACGAATAAGTCGATTCAAGGTAAATCACTTATACATAAAACTAATTCTTTCTTCATACATTTAGGTCGATTAAAAGAATGGATTTTATAGGTAACATACTATTTTATTATAATCAACACTTCTGTTGCATTTAGAATGATCGCAAGAGTGATATGGTCGATAATTTATTCTTTTAATATTAACTAATTCTACTTTTGTATATTTAGAATGATCAAAAGAGTGACTTGATGGATTAGTTATTCTTTTAATAATAACTAGTTCTTTTATTTTGTAATCACAATGATCGAAAGAGTTACATCATGGATAAGTTATTCTTTTAATATTAACTATTCTTTTTTTTAATTTAGAATGATGGAAAGAGTTACGTCATGGATAAGTTATTCTTTTAATATTAACTAATTCTTTTTTTTTAAATTTAGAATGATCGAAGGAGTTCCACCATGGATAAGTTATTGTTTTAATACTAACTAATTCTTTTTTTTGTTTAGAATGATGGAAAGAGTTACGTCATGGATAAGTTATTCTTTTAATATTAACTAATTCTTTTTTTTTGTATTTAGAATGATCGAAGGAGTTCTACCGTGGATAAGTTATTGTTTTAATATTAACTAATTCTTTTTTTTTATTTAGAATGATGGAAAGAGTTACGTCATGGATAAGTTATTGTTTTAATATTAACTAATTCTTTTTTTTTTGTATTTAGAATGATCGAAGGAGTTCCACCATGGATAAGTTATTCTTTTAATATTAACTAATTCTTTTTTTTTATTTAGAATGATGGAAAGAGTTACATCATGAATAAATTATTTTTTTAATATTAACGAAGTCTTTTTTTGTGTATTTAGATTGAGCAAAAGGATTGATTTATTATGGTAAGTGACTGTTTTAGGATGAATTACTTCTTTGCTTTCACAATTAGATTGATCCAAAGAATAATTTTAGGAGTAAGTCATTATTTTATTATAAATTGATTCTGTTGTTTTATGTTTAGGCTGATGAATGGAATAATCCGTTTATTAAGTTGTTTATTTCAAAGTAAGCTGATGCATTTCTGCTACATTTAGATTAATTCAGAAAACGATCTTATGGGTAAGTTGCTATTTTAAAAGAATGAAACTTTTTATCTTCTTTGTTTAGGACGAGCTAAAGAAGAGACATAGATTATTATTATTATTATTTCCATATGAATCAATTCCTTTCTTTTACATTTAGTTTCATGAAAACAAGATCAATTTGTTGGAAAGTTGTATTTTTAAAATTATTATTGTGAGTTGCATTGATGTTGACCAATGAAATAATGAGAGCGGTAAGTAAATTATTTTATTATAACGTAATTGTATTTTTTTGTATTTAGGATGATTCAAAGAATAATTTTGTATGTAAGCTATTATTTTAGTATTAATTAATATTTAGATTGATGGAAAGCATGGATTTGTAGGTAAGTAATTATTATAAAACATATTTATTCATGTCTTTAGAATGTTTGAAAGAATAAGTTTACTGGTCAGTAAATTCTCTTAACATAAATTAATTCTTTCTTCTTAGATTTAGGTCGATCAAAACAATAGATTTATTGGTGCGTGATTATTTTAATATGAATTAATTCTCCTTTTCTGTATTTAGGTTAATCCAAAGAACGATTTTATAGGTACGTTGTTATTTAAAATTATGTGATTTATTTCTTCTGTATTTAGAATGATCAGAGAAGAGACTGATAGTTAAGTTGTGACTTTTATATGAATTAATCTTTTTCTTTTATATTTAGGATAACTCAATGAGTGATTTTATTAGTAAGAAAACCAATTGAAAATAAAGTAATCCTGTTTTCTTTCTTTTAGATAGTCGTAACATCAAGTGCATCACTGGTATTGGTTTCTAAGATGCAAATCGTTTTCTCATACATAACGGAGCTCAAAGAAAAAATGTGTCTCTTTCGTACCGTATCAAAGAATCATCAGAGTAAG